TCTGTCTATATTTCTGAGATGGCACAGTGGATAAAGGCGTTGGTTAGATCAAGTGACAAGACCCAAAAAGTGTGAGTTCAATACCCGGTTAAGGCAGTGGAGAAATTTCAGAGGGAAAATTAACAGGAGATAACTGATAGCTGACATTCATCAAACATGGCATGTGGAACTAGAGCAGTCTACCCCAGTGAGCGAAATAAAGGGTTCAGTTCGACATTCCAACTACTTGAAGAAGGCCGGAGCGTACAACGGCCAAAATGTTGTGATAAATATGGCGACAAAGATGAGGACAATAGTCCGAATAATGTAAATAATTGTACCTGTTTATTTTGAAAAAAAAATATTTTCCAGCCATTATACGTTTTCTTGCCAAATTATTTTAGATCTCATTTTAGTTCTTAATTTCGTTTGCCAAGGGCATGTCATTTAGCTATAATTTTAAGTTAACCGTATTTATTTAAATTTCTTGATTTGTAGCACATTCATTTAAATAAATTTGTACATAAAACAATCTGCATTCATAGTAAATTCTTTATATCAAGGTAAATAAAATTGCAATATGGTAGCTTCGATGTTCTTGTAAATGTAAAACGTTACCGCTAAATAAAGAATCTAATACAATAAATAATGTTTTATATTTTTGCCGTTAATTCTCAAGGAAGAAATGTTTAAATCCAGTTTCATGCGTTTGAGGTTTATCAAATTCTAAAAATAGCTTTTAAAACAAAAAAAAAATTGTCAAGTAAATCAAACTTTGATATTTATTTATGTTTTAAATGTAAACTTTATAAATTCTCCAAGGGCGAGGCCCTTCCCACGACACTCCGGTTGTATTAACCTTTGCGATCGCCCCAAATGAGGGCGACTCGGGTGTGTTGTTCCTAAGTGTGGGGTCCGCGCTCGATAAACAAACCAAAAAACAGTTTTTCTTTCTATATTATTTTTAAATTGTAAAAATTACTTGTACATCCAATACTATCCGTAGTTACGAAATGTGAAAAACTCCCAGATTTTTTGATATTTTTTTTTATTCTGAAGGTTGGGTTATAGTTCTAGCGATACAATCTAGGAAAATTTTAATTTCAAATTTATAATTTCAAAGGGCAAAACATTAATAACAACACAAACTTTGATTTAAAAAATTATAATTTATTGGGGGTGAATTAATATTTGCAATAACTAACTTTACATTAATTGGGATGAATTAACAGAAAACATGGAAAAGTTTGTTTTTTTTTACCTCTAAGTTCAGGACGTAATTGTTTATGTCTCTTCGGACATTCCCCCATCTGGTAATTGCCAGATATCTTTGTAAAATTTGCAGACGTTTAAGTTTTTGTTGATTCTGATTTTCCCTTCTCCCAGAAGGGTTACTCTTAAAAGCTACAGATCACAGTCTACGCTGTTGTTTAACGCATACATGCAGCAGAAGGAGGAAAAGTGATTCATTGATCCTTCTTCCAGAAGCGTTTTTGGGAAGAGAAACGCATCAGATTAAACCAGAATTTGAACTCTGATCTCCAATTGCATTTTACGCTGATAACCCGTACAAAGCGGAACCATGTTTCAATCTAATTTTCAACTTTTCCCATTCCTTTTTTTTTTGTTCCTTGTCCTGACATCCATTCAGAAAAATACTATTATTTAGGTTAGGTGTTGATTCCTGTGGCTTATTTGGCCTTCATATCTTCCGAAAAGGGTTAATTCACCAAACACTCTTTCCTCTCGATATTCCCCAGGAATTACTACAGTCTCATTCTGATTTCTAGTATAATGATCTCTCGTCGTGCATTGCAAATGATAACTATTTTTAGTGGGTACATATTACTACAATATCCAGAATCCCTCATATTACTAACTACAATATCCAGAATCCCTTATATCCGGAATCCCTCATATACGGTGTGTCTCATATCCGGAATCCCGGATATCTGAACATGATTTTGATCTGTATTGAACTATTTGGGTGATATTTGACTGATCTGAAATTTCTGTTTTTCAGGAGATTTATTTGGATAATTGCTTATGATTATTTCACTCTAATGGCTTGTGTTGGCACAAAAGATGATGGGAATAAGAGAAAAGGATGACAACGTGAGACATCTGCAACAAGATAGAGATGAGATGCATGATTGTAATGAAATCTGGACTGAAATTGGAAAAGCTATTGAAAAGGTTGTCAGTTTTATGGAAAGAGAGCCAGCATTCACCTATGAGAATTGTAATAACTCACGCAGAGTTAAAAAGTGTCTTTTGATCAAACAAATCCACGAACAAAAACAAAACGGAATGCGAAAAAAACTGCGAATGACATTAGAAGATAAAGAATCAGCATTCAACAGCGATTAAAAAATCTTTCGTTACATTATTTGTTTTGCATGTGATATACTTTATTTAATGAATTTCCACTAACATTAAACCATTTATTTCTTTTTCCTTAAACACGACGTTCGTTACAATTATCGGCCTCCATATATCTGTAGCCCGCTTTATATCGTCAGTTAGCATTCTATGCAAATACAGTAGAATCCCTCATATCCGGTATATCTCATATCAGGAGTGCCTCATATCCGGAATCCCGCATATCCGGACATGATTTTGATCTGTATATTTTAACTATTTGGGTGATATTTGACTGATCTGAAATTTCTATTTTTCAAGAAATTTAATTTGGATAATTGCTTATGTTTATTTCCCCCTAACGGCTTGTATTGGTGCAAAAGATGAGGGGAATAAGAGGAAAAGAACAATTTTGGAGTTATCACAAAAAGTGGAAGTTTTAAACAGACCAGACGCTGGTGAAAGTTTATTTTAAATAATGGATGAGATCAACATAAGAAATTCAACATTGTCTGATATAAAATCTTCCAAAGAAACTATTCTCCAACGTTTACAGTCACAATGAACAATGAAATAAAAAAAATATGATCGTGATGAAATATGGATTGGAAATTAAAAAAGCTACCGTAAAGGTTGTCATTTTTATGGAAAGAAAGGCAGCATTCAGCTATGAGGATTGCAATAACTCACGCAGTGTTAAAAGTGTCTTTCTTTTAAAAAAATTCAAGACCAAAAGCAAAACGAAATTCGGAACAAGTTGCGAATGATATTAGAAGAGAAAGAATCATTATGCAACAGCGATTAAAAAATCTTTCGTTACATTATTTGTTTTGCATGTAACATACTTAATTTAAGGAATTTTCACTAATATTACATCATTCATTTCTTTTTCCTTAAAACAAATTAAGTTATATATCAATCACCATTAGCTTATTATGTTTACTATAAAACATAAATGTTAAACCTGATTTCATTTCTTTTAATTTAATCTAGATATAACACCTCATATTCGGATTTTGTAATCAATTCCTCATATCCAGAAGGCCTTCCTAGTCCTGTTGTCAGGGATTCTATTGTGGTTAGAATAGCGCTTAAAATCATCGCGACACGAATCCTTGTTTTTTTATTAGTGTTAATTAGAGTTTACTGGTTTGAAAATTAAGCATTTGTTAAAAAATCATCTTCCAACGAAGAATTTGCCTTACCAGCAGGTGTCTATAACTCAAATAACATCTACCATATTTATTTTTTTGAGAGTACGAAAAATTAGGATTTGCTTCTCGAGAGCACTCAACTATGTATCTAAAATATAACCTGAAATTGCTGTTTAGTTTAGAGTATTATTACATTACATCATTTATTTCTTTTTCCTTAAAAACAAATTAAGTTATATATCACTCACCATTAGCTTATTATGTTTACTATAAAATATTGACAATAAATGTTAAACCTGATTTCATTTCTTTTATTTTAATCTAAATATAACCCCTCATATCCGGATTTTGAAACCAGTTCCTCATATCCAGAAGGCGTTCTTAGTCCGGTTCTCAGGAATTCTACTGTATTATAATTGATAGTGGTTCGTATCGGAGACCCGAATTCACAATGCAGTTGAGTTCGTTAAATTAACTTCCGTGCAAATAGACTTAGAGAAAGTCTGAATCGTTCACTTCCATCGAGTTATGGGTTAAATAGTAGGGTATACTCGGCTATTCGGTCTTGGTTGTCGGCCACTCTAGAAGAAGAAAAAACTATAATCTCAAAACCGGTTGGAAATGATGGTAGCAAATCCATCCCGTAGAATTCTACTTGTAATTCAATCCCCCGCCCCCAGCGTCAACAACTAGCTTGCTGAAAGCTGTGGCTACATATTCCTCAACGGCGTCTAGGGATCTTGAGTGATTTAATAGAATATACAGTTAGTAAAATATATTCACCTACTTGATTTTGTCATCCGGAATACGTAACTCATTTTGTTGATAACTCTGCATTCTATCTTCCTTCTGGCTTCCCTTGATCGCTTGTCTAAAAGTTCTTTCTGAGTCAACCATTAACTCAGTGCTGTTTTAGTTATTAACCAATTAGCATTGCTTTAATAACTGATTGAATGTGTTAAAAGAGTAAATATCGATTTTCTGGATGAGTGAATGAGCCCTCAAATTGAATAGTGCTTAGTGCTTGTTCGTCTCTCCGCGGGATAAGGAACGTGTCACACAGACATCTTGACGTGGTTAATTTTGAATTAAAATCTGGAGGTATTTTAGTGCTAAATGAGAAAATACCCTGAACGTCTCCTGTAATGTCAAACGTTCTTAATGAAATCATGCAGCTGATTAAATATCAGTGAATGGAAGTGAATAAACAACAAAATTATTAAAAAATAAAAAATAAAAAAATAAAAATATGGTTGAATATTTCTCTAGCTGGTTGCAAGGGAATGAAGCCCTGAACGGATCATTGCCTCAATAAAAAAAAGAAGAAAAAAAAAATGATGGAGATTTTTCTTCAAAAGAAATTATGCTGAGTCCAGCATAGAAAATAAAACAAGTTTTTGAAGGAAGTCCTTTTTTTAATTGAAAAGCCAGGCCTTTTTAAATATAAGTGTTTTAGTCTTTACATATGTTTGAGTGACATACGGGTGATTCTCGTTACCTCAAGCCGGGCATATCACGTTCAAACACCGGTTCTCGTATGATCACAGATGTTAAGCAACGTCGAGCCTGGTCAGTACCTAGATGGGTGACCGACTGGAAATACCAGATGCTGTAAGTGTGGATGTGCGGGTGATGTAATGAAAAATGGACCGGAAGAGGCGAGTTCGAATTCCTGTTGTGTTCGTTATCTTCATTAACGCAGAAATAAACTTTCTCCTCTCATCTATGAATTAATTAATAGGTTAATAATAGTTATTATCTCAATAAAGTTCTTACAACCTAAAAACAATTCTGGCTTTAAATAAAACAATCGGTTGATAAGCCTTAAAAAAGAATCAATCAAATTCAGAAACATTCTCGGACTATGTACATTTCGTAATAGTATCCTTGAGGTTACAGAATGGTTGGAACGATCACGCGTCCAGGGTTCGAATCTCATCATCGATGATTTGTCAAAGATGTGACTTCCTTAAATTGGTGTCTCGGTGCGATTTCATTGTGTAGCCCCTTTGGGAAAGAATTGAAATTAAGAAATTGTGTAGACAGAAATGTACAGTATCCGGAGATTGTTTTACTAACACGAATTCACAAGTCATCGTGACTGAGGGTTTGAGTGTACTGGCATTGTACAAAAACGTTGATAATTCCAGAAACGGTAACTAAGGTTCGCTCAGCATAGTTGCAATATAGACAACAAGTTGGTCTTGGTGTTGAACAACTAAAAATATGCCTGAGTAGGTGACTGCAGCAGAGATTGTTTACTCGACCTAGATTTAGAAACAAGTGGTCAGCCATATGACACACTATAGTTGATATTTAGCTTTACATTCGGACTAGTGTACACGTCATTGTTCTTATAATCACAAAGTTTCGGCTTTTTTGTACTTCCGATTTTCTTCCGATATAGTGAAAAGAATGAAGTACTAATAAAAACCTGAAATTATTTTCACCAATACTGACGTAAATAAATTGGAATTGCGAAAACCGGTCGTGTAATTAAGGTAAAATTTGATGTTATTATTTAAATCCGCGTCTTTGGATCGAAAGCATCGAAGCATCTTAATGGATCCCTCTTTCTTTTCTTTTAATCATTTCATTCCAAACCAGGATGGACTGCCACTAGTATGCAGAGTTTAAAGGGGGTGAAAGGGAGAGAAAAGACTGGGTATAGGGATGGGATTGAGGAAAGGATAAAATCGGAAAGGGATTCAAGAAGATAGAATGTGGCGATTGACATCAAATTTTTGAAGATTGTAATTATCAATGAAGTAACTTAACGGAAAGGAGTTTGTCAGGCAGGAAGTGTAAGAAAAGAAACTGTTGGTGTAGAGGTGGCGGTCACATTTAACTATTTTAACAGTAAACGTGTGGGACCTAAATGCCAATCTAGTAGCACGCTTAATTCACGTAGCTGAGGCATTAAGGAAAAAAAAGCTCGTTAGAGCAGTTGCTATGAAAATATTTGTAGAAAAGACAAAGGGAAGCTACGTCACCTCGGTGAGAAAGTGACTGAAGTCGGGATGCCTGATCAGGATCGATTACATTGCAGATCCTTATTTGGATTTTGTCAAGAACCTCGAGATGAATAGCTGAAGCAACAGGCCAGATATGCCATGTTTAATGGATGTCAGTTATCAGTTATCTCCTGTTAATTTTCCCTCTGAAAGTTCTCCACTGCCTTAACCCGGTATTGAACACACACTCTTTGGGTCCTGTCACTGGATCTAAGCAACGCCTTTATCCACTGTGCCATGTGTCCATGGCACGTGGAACTAGAACAGTCTACCCCAGTGAGTGAAATAAAGAGTTCAGTTCGACATTCCAAACACCTGAAGAAGGCCGGAGCGTACAACGGCCGAAACGTTGTAATAAATATAGCGACAAAGATTAGGACAATAGTCCGAATAATGTAAATAATGTACATAACACTTCATCTCAGAAATATAGACAGATATGTGTCGGTTTAAATAACAAGCAAAGGGTTGATAGCCTGTAAAAACAATTCAATAGCATGTATATTTTTTAAACAATTCACGCCAAGCAAGTTGAGAATGTCACTAGAATGTTACCTCTTGGGATGACGATAAATTACACCCGGCAGTATGGCCTTTTATAGGTAGGTTTTAAGGAGCGTGTAACCAACTTCTTAATGCCGATGTTCCCCGGTACACCTTGACCTGTCATGGTCCCAACTATGGGGAAATTGTTGGAAAAAAAAACTGTAGTCAAAATATTATTAAAGCATAAAAAATATTATAGTAATAGTAATTATTAAAGTAAAGAGTAAGTAGTAAAAAGTAAGTATTTTAGTGATAGTAAGTACTAAAGTATTATGTTTATAGTAAAAATACCAGCCACACATTTTCGTATTAAAAAAATTACCAGCAATATATTTTTTTAAAAAGAAAAAAATTACCGGTAATACAATTTTTTAAAATTACTAATACCCTCAAGAAAAATAAATTTCTGCATTAAATGACCGATGAGGAGTTGATATGCCGATAAACAAACAAAGACGCAAAGTGCTACAAGGAGTGAAGGAGAATGAATAGATTTTAGAAAGCAACCGGAAACACAATCTTAAAGCGGAAACAATGGATAAACCTATACTCTTTTTCAAAAGTCCCGGTAGGAGTATAAACCAGACGATATTATTTCGAAAGCGAACGCAACAGATTAAACTAGAGTTGGAACGAGCATTACCAAGTCGTTTAATTCGCTAATAACCAGCATATACACGGACAGGAAACCATTTAAAATTCGTCGTTTTCACTCAAGAGGAATTAGCAATATCATTGGTCCTGACTATGTATCTCGGCTTCAGTCACTTTCACACCGCTTTAAGGTTGCCTCCCTGTGCATTTTCTAGAAATACTTTCATGTTAATTGTTCGGGTGAACGCTTCCCTATGGAATCTAAACTTTATGAATTTAAGCGCAGTGTAAGTTTCGCATTTAGAGACAGGGTCAAGCACTGAAAAAAACACATGATTCTTAGTCGAGACTTATCAAAGAGTGTTTTTTACGACTACTCCTCCACATTTGAACCTAAGACCGAGGGAGTTCGGAGTGCTAGTCTGACCGTTTACATCGAAAGGAATCACTCGACGAAGAAATTACAAAATCTCTTATAGAAGGTAGCGACAGAGCGTGTGAACAATGGACTAAGCATAAACCACAAGAAAACAGAATGCATGGTCATCAGTTGGGCCGCATTCAAGAAGACGCGGAAGTTTAAATATCTGGGAAGCGTCTTGACAGAGGACGGTAAGGGTGACACTGAGATCGATAAACGTGTTGGGATGGCCAAAACTCATCAAAATCTGAGCAGTGCCAGACGGGATTTTCTTTGGTAACAAAAGAATACTGACTGTTACGTGGCATCTGTTCCTCCGGCAGTGAATTTGGAACCTAAGACCGACGGGATGTGTTTGGGGATATCATGGACCGAGCGTGTGAGCAACGATGAGGTTTGACAAACGTTTACATCGAAAGGAAGTTTCACATAATCGACGAAGAAATTACAAAATCTGGATGACAGTTGGCGACAGAACGTTGAGGGCTGCAAGGGACAGAAGAATGGACAACTGTACATAAACCACTAGAAAACAACAGGCTCTCGTCAATTTATAGTTGAAAATGCAATGGTATAAGAGTTTCCTGTTTTCGGACTGTTCGTTTGTGGTCTTCCCTTCCAGATCCAAGCTCTCCAGCCAACTTTGACCTTCGAAAATTTAAATGAAATGTCAATCTTTATCTCTCTATTTTGATTAAGGTTCACGCTTCTTAATAATTTTTTCTCCTCATGTTTTAGTGACTTTATTACCATGCCTGGTGTATTAGGATTTAAAATAATATTTGCAAGAATGCATCCTAAAGTTTTGAGTTTTCGTTATATTTTCTGCAGCTATATAAAAGAAAATAACGAAAGATTTAATCTATTCTTAATTGTATCTATAATTTAATTATATCTATATCTCTAATTCACAAAATGTATGTGTGTATGTATGTGTGTGTATGTATGTATGTGTGTGTATGTATGCGTGTGTGGGTGCGTGTGCTTGATCGGAAGTTGTTTCCATAGTTTTCAACCGATTTCAATGATTTTTTTTTGTTTGATAGACAATTCTTCAGTTTCCGGTTTAGAGTTCAAATTCTTTGGAAAAAATTACAACCTTGAAGTTAAAAAATCTAAAAGGACTGATTTTTTTACACTTTGCGCAAAAATCAAAGGCAAAATTCAATGTCTGTAAAAAAAAAACGACGTAAGATCAATTTAGATGGTTGAAATCTAACGCAAGAGATGATTAGAATTATAAGAAAAAATATTATAAATAAAAATTTTCCCATTATGATGGTCCATGGAAGGGAGGTGGAGAAAAGGCCTTGCTAGAATGGCCGTGTTCAGCACCGACCCCCAGTTTATTTGGGAATGTGGGGTTAAAAAAAATTAAAATGCTCCAACTGAGCGGCAAAATTCCCAGTAATAAAACACCCGGTCGATGACAGGTTATACTGCTAGTCTATATATCAAAATGTGTGTGTGTATATCTGTTAGTGTGTGTGTGTGTGTGTGTGTGTGTGTGTGTGTGCCCGTGTGTGATCGGATGTTGTTCATGACAGTTTTCGATTTTGATGAAATTATTTTTATTTGATAGATAATACTTCAGTGCCGGTTTTGAGCCCAAATTTTTGTCGACAATGGCTCTTCACTACTTCCTGTCCATTATAACTCTCAGCAACGTTTGACTATTTACTACTTGTTCTTGGATATATATCTCTCATAAAAACTATAATAAACAATAAACAGTTTAAATTATTACAATAATAATAATTTTCATTATTATACAGTTCCCTTTTCAGGGCCACCCCCATTCAAATTGGTACCCCCTCCATTTGGGGAGGTGCTTCAGTTGCACCTAATTTTTGTTACTAATATTGTTGTGGAGTTATTTTGCAGCGGAGGCTTGCATTTGTACTAAATCGGTCCTAAATAGTTCGACGTTCAAAACGGAATTTGATATAATAGGTATTACGCAGAGTAATCTTGTTGTGGTCGCTGACTTTTTCGTATTCGACTAACTGTCGACTACTGTCGTCCGACATCGACGCTATT